CTGGTGTAGATTGCAGCGGGCTTGCTATGCGAGTTGCCTCCCAGAAATTCAACGCGAAGTTCGTATGCTATGTTATGTTATGGTATGGTAACTTTATTTATACACGGTGTTTCCTTCAGGTACATTTACATTTAAGTATAGAAAAACTAACTACCTAACTAATCTAAAATCTAAGACAAAAACTAAAATAATAAAGATGAAAAGAAAACACCTGCTTTTCAAGGAGGCCTTGTGTAAAAACAGCATATTGCTAATTAAATTAATTGTCAATCGAAAGTTGTCGCTTAATTTTCCCTTAAATAAATTAGTGGATGTCAATTGCCGCACCTCTAGAGGCAAGCTGTTCCAGAACACACTTCCGCTGTATTAAATACTTCTTTTATAAAATTTAGTACGGGGTTGTGGAACAGCGAACTGGTATACATTCTCACTGAGGTTTTAACTAATTAAAGCTAAAGCGAAGCGACGAACAAAAAGCGAAGTCAGATATTCAGGAGCTGTGTTATTTACAATGCTATGCATCATTGTTGCTTTACTAACTGCACGCTGATGGAACAGGGGTGTTTTTTGCATGAGCATGCGCGACCGCTGAACAAGCGATGTGCATGGAGGCTCACCACAGGGTTTGCCTTCATCAAAATGGCGCGTCTCAAAGGTATCATAGCGATTATTTTGCTCGTTGGTCTTGGCGAATGTGCTGGTGATTTAACAAAATGTGTAGTCTGCAAAAAACTCTAACATGGTCTTAACAAAAGCGAAGTAAACCGGCTTTAACATACACGAGCTACTATCAAATTTCATCTCCCCACTTGACCTGGACAACAGCGCGCGTATATGTAGTACCTGGAGGATTGCGCTGACCTCATCAAAGTCTAAACAAAGTGCCGAAACGTTTGTTGATGAAATTAAACACTTTCAATTTTCTTTGTTTTGAAATGGGAAAGGAAGAGAAATATTAAAAAGAAACCATAGCAAATTTCAGCGAGTGGGTTCGAAGTGCGCGAAAGCCGATGTTCGGTTCCGCAGTGAATTAATGTATGTTCTACAATTTTCCCAGCACTTTAAAGCTACAAAATTAAGAGCGCACGAGACGTAGATTAGTCACCTGGTGAGATGTTGGTGGTAGTCACTCTGTATGTCTCGAACAATAAAAAAATGGATATCAATGAGACACAGTCAAAACTGCATTCAATAGGACCGAAATGAAAGTCCAATCTTGTGACCGATTTTGATGAAACAAACGGTTAGGTTTCCCAAGAAGTACATTAAACATGTGATGCAAAAGTTAAAAATCATTAGAACATTTAAGTTCTGGCCAAAAGCAAATTCCTGTGAAAGATGCGTTACAATGTTAGCCCACGCAAAAACAAGAAGTTCTACAATTTTCCTATAAACAAACTTTGTATCGCTAAAATACTTAAGGCAAAAACTTTCTATTCCAACTGAAAACGGCGTGGTAGTCGCCCGCTGATCGTTATTAATCCACTCCCGAAATATGGCTAAATCAGCTGTTAACAAATTATTGACAGAAATCCTCTACGGCATCGAGAAACTGATTTACATCCGATTTATAGACAAACACTAAATAAAGAACATTTTACTCAATAGCTACGCATCAGCAATGCATTCTATGCCAAACTTTGCGGTTCTTAATGGGGAATCAAGACACGAGTCGAGCGCCAAACAACAACAAGCAGCCATGTTCGTGTGAGACATCCTTGAGAAACTTGCTCTTTCACCTCGTTCAGCGCATCAGTCTCCACTTTAAATCAACAGATCTTTACTTATTTTGTACAACGAAGGTCTTTCCTAAGTTCCTGCTACCATTTCAATCTCAAGCAAGCTTTCAAAGTGAACAATTTGGTTCCTATGTCTATGCAGCACGGTCGCTGTCACTGGTCGCGTGCTCTTTGACAAGTCAGCGGTTGCGCATGCTCATGCAAAAAAGACCCCTGTTCGCTGATGGAGAAGTCTCGACCACTTTAAAATACGTGAGTTGCCGTCACAAGCTGTCAAATATTTCAAATAATAGGACTTTTTAGCATTCATACGGCATTGTTGCGTGCCCTCTTCAAATCATTCCAGTCGTTAGGGTCACCAGACCGTATGGCCTTTATTTTAAGTCGATCTCTGAAATGCATCATTTTCTTAAGCTCCGCAGGAGTTTTGGAACTACGAACGCGCTTAGATCGGAGGGGAGCATATACATCAGACATCTCTAGGAACAAAGTTTTCCATTTTAGCCACATTTCGTTAGGGTTATGTACTCCCTTGACATCATCCCATGATTGGGCTAAAATGTCAGAGCGAAAGCTATTACGATTGAAATTCTTAAATTGTCTATACACGCCAGGCAAACTAAGAGCGAAATGTGGCCTTGAGATATGATGGCATACGGCCAGCGGTATTACGCGTGCAATTGAAGCGTTCACAAGATGGCCGCTAAGAAGTTCTATGATGTCTTCGAAGTCATTGAAAAAGTGACTGAGAGCGACGAGACTAACGAAGATGGAGATAGCTACGACGAGGGAGATCAAGTTCAAGAGATAGTCCAGAGCAAAATGACCGAACTCGCAGAGGCTGCAGTGAAGTTGGAGCCTGCTTTGCAACCAAACATGAAGTTGTTTGAGACTCATGCAGTTGGCATTATTTTACCTTGGTTACAGTTGCGCGCTTACCCTGAAATATCAGGCGTGCATTCAGTCCTTAAAAGTAGCATCAGCTGTGGATCAATTCTTCAGACTGAGAGCAGGCTATGGCTCAGATTAGTAAACAGAAGAATCGGTGGGCCTTTAAGGATTAGAAACCCATACTATGCAGAGATGAAGAGGGACCTTCCATATGATGCTTACAGAGCTTTGGAGTTGAGTATCAAGAACAGTACTTTAGAACATTTTAAAGAACCTCACTGTGATATTGCAGGAAACAGGAAGGGAACTGTCGGAAAAGGGTGTATTACAACTGTCTACTATGCTTAGTGGGAAAAAGGAAGAAGAAGTGAAAAGGTATTTTCGGCGTTCATTGAAAAGGAGAGGAAAAGCTAAACTAATTGTGAACACCGACAAGAATTTTTCGCTGATTTATAAGTTTAATAAAGGGCAGCTTATTATTGGCTTTCATTTTGGGGTTTGGAACATCAATGGTTTCCCCCAGCACACATGAACAAAAACCTTTTTATTGCTAATACATGCAGTTCCCGCAGTTGAAGGCTGATTAAGTTGTTATGTCAGCACAAGTTGTTTGAGAATTAAATTTTAGTGTCCAGGAGAAAACAAGTGAAGCAGGATTGTCATTCTAATCTCCATTGATTTAGGCATTAATCACTATTGATTTATCAAGAGGAGGGAGAAAGAATAAATGAAAGCAATGGTTTTTGACTCACAATAGGAGGAATACATCATGTATTACTAAACGGAATGAAAACAGTCAAAACATATACATTTTTTTTGTTCAAATTCACGAAAACAGTTCTTGGGGTCCAAAAAAGGATAAATTTTCTTCTCCTGTTTGTAGAATACGTTGTCAATAAAATGTGTGGAACACCTTGTTTGGTGGGCAAACGAAATCCAGATACCTCATGTTTCAAATACATTGTCAAGCAATTGGCCATGTTTGAAATAAGCAAAGGGACGGGATACAAGTTTAAAAAACCGATGGGGTTTGATTGAGTAGAAATAAAACATCAGTCAGAAATTCAGGGTTGTCAGAAAGTTTTGAAATAGACGGCTGAGTTGTCAAAGCGGCTAGTCCAGGGATATTTAATTAAAAAAAAAAAAACCACCATCCATAAAGAAATGCCAAGTAGAGTATCTGGCCTATGCTAACCAAGTAGGCGGCGATTTTCGCTGGCAGCCGGCTACTTTTGACAACCCTGAAATTATATGATCTGTAACCATAAGTGTTAGAAAGGGATTTGAGTGGTGGTTCCCAGTCCCCCTATCATTTAGATCATGGGTAAATTTCTGCCCCAGTAGGATACAGTCAAGCCTCACCCTGTAGACACCCCAAAAATCTGGACAGCAGCTAAATCCCTGGCAAAAATCAATTACAGACATTTGACTATATTAATGACCCAACAGTGTCTGTTATAAACAGAGTTGACTGTTAATACCTACCTGCCATGGACCACCAAATCAAGATTATATTTTCAGAACTTTATTTATGTGTTTAACATGGTACAAAACTGCTAAACTGGCCAACAAAAAAGACATTTTTTTTTGGGGGGGGGGGATAAGTTTAAGAGAATATCTAAGCTTTTAAAAAGTGATTTCAAAGACATTTCCTTCCCAAAGTTCTTTAACTTGTGTTTCCTTAAAGTTTCATGAATGATATGAAATTTGTTATTGTCTCAATATAATTATTATTATCTCCTTCATAAGGTTCTATGAATAATATAAATAAGGTTTCCTTAAAGTTGTATAAATAATATAAATAACATTTCCTTCTTAAAGTTCTGTACATTAATATAACAATTAAGTAACAAATAATGGTAGTAACTGTTAACTGTACTGATTTGTACAAGATAGGGTTAAAGAACGTACAATAATATTACTACTGTAACGGTTCTAACTGCATAGTTCCTTATACCAATAAGAGGCATACAGTATTTTCAGTGATCTCACTGTTTAAGGATTGCATCCACGCTTGTTATTGCAAGTTTAGTGCACAAGTGCAGCCATGCAAAATGCATTTCTTAAACAACTAAGGATTAGGTTGCAAAGCAGGCTCGCATTCCACTGCAGCCTCTGCAAGAAGCTTCAATGGTCCCATTTCGTTATTCTGTACCATTCGTTCCATAGCTAACATACTTTTATTGAACACGTTTAGTGATTTGGGTTCTGCATGGACTGTTGCAATATTCGCAGCACTTTTCTGCCACTGGGAGACCACAGTAAGAATGACCACTTTGAAAAGCCCGTTTGGGAATGTACGTCTTTTTGTTAGAGCTAGCACTGGTTAAGTTGTAGCCTTTCTCCCGCAACCATATAAGGGAAATAAACTCATGACGGAAAACTTGCTTCCAGCGATTCAAGAAGTTTGTGTTCTGGGCATACCGGAAATTGCTTGATGTTTAGCTTCCCTACCCTCCATGGAGTTAAGGGCCAACCCCTTCCCATACATTTCAAACATCTCCCTGGTGTGAACAGGGACAACATGCCCAGTAAGGGTCCATACTTAGGGACCTTAGGGGTTGACTTGGAGAAACAATGCGCAGGAAATAAAGAAATTCTGGAATGCTTTCTCAAGATCATCAAGCTGTTTTCTCTCAATTTGCTGTCTACAAAAAAGTGAGACAGCATCCCGTAGTGAAAGGCATGTGAAGGCAAAGACATGCAGTTTAAACTCAACAGGTTGTAAGTCTCTTTCACCCTTCATTGCTTTAATCAGGAACATAAAATTGTGCAGAAATCTACGTGATTCTCCCCCTGTAAAGCGGTACGAAAATTCCTTAGGATTTCCCTTTCCCATATCAAACCACCTGAACACCTCCTTCGCTAAGCGTGAAAGACTTGCCTCAGTTTTCAGGCTAGTAATAAGCCCGAAAAAAGGAGAGTGTGTACTCACTTTCTGAAACTCAGGGGCACCCAACGGCAATTTTCGGGAAAATATCTGTTCGGAAGACGATTTGAGATCTAGAATTTTCGGAGCATTTGTTGTAAAATTTCTTGCTTGCCTGCCTCTCCTAGGATTTTCGAACACCTACAAAATGGTATAATTACCCATTTTCAACGGATTTTGAGCCTAAAAAAGGCCACCTAGAATTTTCGGGAGCCTTTTCTTGGCTGAAATTTTCGAGAAGGTAAGTTTTTATCCCTATAATTTTCGGATCACTAGACTTTCAGCTAGGAAATCCGAACAGATGAAAAGTTTTTAGGGGATAAAAATATGCCTATATCTACCGTTTGAATACTAAAATACGTTCAACAATGCTATGTTAAGTGGTTTTGAACTATATCCTCGTTGGGTGCCCCTGTGAAACTCATTTACATTCTGTGGTAATTTGGATATTTCAATTGCAAATTCAAGGATTTGGGAAAAAAAAAAGGGCACATGCATTATTTCTTAAGTGCAAGGGTTCAACGTGCGCTTTTTCAATCAGCTTGCCAATTCTTGGAGCAAATTCTTGCCTTGATTACTTTTCTGCAATAAGTGAGGTTATCTTACACCGTTTAGTACTGGCACTTAGGGTAGTCTTTGCCAGTTTGCTTTTCAACTCTTCAACTTGTTTGGCCACTTTTACACGTTTGCCATAGTCCCATGGTTTCCACTGGTTTGTATCAGCTCGCAATCGACCAAAGCTGAATTGCAAATTCGCCATATCATTATAGGTTATATTCCCAAATGATGAGAAATATTTGGCACTGTTACTCAATTCTCCTCCTAAGAAACACAGCATCTTCATGTCATTAGGAATTTCCGAAAATTCAAACTTAACTACATAGCCATTTATAGAGAAAACATTATCCTCCAGATAAACTATATCACTGACAAGTCTGGTGACATACCTTTGGACTGCAATGCAGCTTTCAGAGCAGTTTGCCCCAAATATTAAAAAATTGTCATCACTGCTCAGGCAACGTTTTCCAACATTCAAAAAGCTGACAATCCATGAACAAGCCTGATCGTATTTCCCAAAAGGTGCGCCATCGCCACCAATGGCTACCTTGAAAGTGAAGGGCTTTCCAAACCAGTCAAATTCATTGTTGGGGTACAATTTAAAATAAAATTCAGCTAACCGTGGCATAAATTCTTTTAAATTCCGAAAGTACCCATTAACTTTATCTGCATCATTGAGATCAAAACACAGCTCTTCTCTAACAGAATGTAGAGTGCCTATCAAGAAATTGAACAAGTTTGTAGTATGGCAAAAGAGCAGAAACATGGCAGTTCGCTACTTTTAAGCAAGAAAATTTTTTCCCCCTTGGATAGTATCCTCTTAAATGAAAAGGAATGGCGCACTTTCATGTACTTCTTTTTGCCCATGACACCCATGCTATAGTAAACTGACACACTTCTAAGTATGTTCTCATCACTATTTTCATACACCTTGCACTTAGCCTTATGAAGTAGAATGAAGTATTTTGCATGTGTATGTTGACCTTCCCTTTATTCTTAAGGAGTGCTTTAAGTCACGAAAGTTTTTTGATGTGACTGGTAACTCTCCGCGTCTTATTTTAATACGGTGAAGAAATACAGTTCTTAAAGAAATTCATCAGGCTAGTGAAGTTAAACAGTCGATTTAAATGTTCTTAAAACATAGCCAGTCTTAAAGGGACAGTGTCCCGATTGTGCGCACGCGCGAGCGTCATCTGTTTTTTCCTTCTAAAGACAATAGAACTGTCATATTGAGTCGACAAGATTTCCTTCCGGACCGCACCGCCGACAGAGATTTGTTGTTTACATTCTTAAGTAATATTTTTTAGACTTTCGAAGAGGTTTTTCGTCTTATTTAAAATTTGGCTCGCGGCACGAAGACTCATCGCGATTTTGTCGCTAGCAGGGCCGCCTCGCGACCCAAAAATCTCGTTCTGCTCGCTTTAAAAACAGCTTTTCTGATGTGAAACTCGTGTCAGAGGTCAATAGTTCCAAGTCCGGTAATATTTGCCTGATTTGCTCTAGCCTCAAACGTTTGAAAGATATAAATAAAAATGCAATCTCAACGCGATGAATTATCGCAAAGGTTAGTCAGAAATTATCTTATGATTTCATTGCACTAGTTTTTCTGAACATGTAGCGCTTGTTTGTTTGATTTTGTCGGCCGTAGGGAGGTTCATTTAAAAGTTCACTAACGCGTCGTTGCAAAACATTCTGCTTCACAAAGCTTAATTCCACAAGATCTACTCAGTCACATGTCTCAATGGTTTCTTCCTTACGAAAGTTCTCATCACTATTTTCATACACCTTGCACTTAGCCTTATGAAAAGTAAATGCAATTTTTTTGGCCAGCTTAGATTTGTTACATACTAATGAACTGACAAGTTTCTTGGAAAACTTGGTGTCCAAGGTTTCTACAAGTCCAGTTGCAGCTGCCTCGTTACTCTCCCTTGTGTCGCCATGGATTTCTGTGGCAGCATTATACGTCTCCAACACTCTTCTTCGCTTTGCCCTCATTGACAGCTCATCAGAGGTGGGTTGCTTTCTTCTCCGAGATCTTGAAACTGAAGAGAGGAAATTTTCCTTTTCACAGCTGCTTTTCCGGCCTTTATCTTGACGTCCTTCCGGAAGTACTGCAACCTCATTGTTAGCATTAACAATCTGTTTAAAAAAATACAATTTTAACCCAGGGCAACGACAGAAAGAAACGTTTTAAAGAAGATAGGCGAGTTTGAACAGTAACCCCAATTTTCTTTTAATGCCATTGAAAAGAACTGCTAAGCAAAGCAGCGTATGTGTAATTCAGAGTAGAGAGTGATATGCACAGTGTGCTGCCCTATTTCCACAACCCTGCAACTCTCCCCAGCCAAAGTTGCAAAGTAATGCACCACAGAAGTGTATACCTTGTACTTGTATGACACATAAGACTTCAACTGAAACCTACATGTATTGTTGCTTTCAGAGTACTGAATAGGCACATGCAGCAAAATCATACCATTTCACATATTAAATAGCTTACAAAAACAGAGACAATACGTGCCTACAGTATACAATAGTACATGATATTATGGAGCCGTTTCTTACGCTGCTAGACCCTATACAGTTGGGAATTGATCCTGATCAATTTGTTGTTTCTGAAAGGTAGTATGACAATGAGCCGACTGTACTAAAAGGGTGTGCAAATTCATTTTCATACATTTCATGGTCACTTGGAGAGACCAGGCCACTACAAGTCTTGAGAGTGACCAACATCAGTTTTCTCTTAACAATATCAATACACAATCAAGAGAAAAGGTTCTGAGAATGAATAATAATCACCAAAGGGACAATGGTTTGACCTTTAATATTAATTTCTCTCAGCTAATTCTTTGAGGAAATGTATGGAGATCAGTTTGGAGAATTTGTACAGTGTAGGTGGATATTGGGGTTAAATTGGTAAAACAGAGAATTTGCAAGCAAGCTACAAGTAAAACTTACTTTTCCTTTGAGCCACCTCAGTTTGGCTTGAGCCGCCGAAAGCTTAAGCTTTTCCTCTGCTATGGACTCATGGGTTGCTGCTTGTTTCTCTCGAATCTCCTTCTTTTCCTTCATGAACTTGCTAACATTAAATCGACTCAGCATATTTTTTTTTGGAAAGGCATCCTTGGCTAGTTCCTCAGTCAATCTGAGAACAACTTGCACCAAACAAAATAGGTGTTCAGCCGAGACAACTCATCGAACATATTTGCAATAGACTAGGTGAGCGGCAACCATTAAAAAAAGCTAAAAGCGTGAAATTCTGAAGTTTAACGACGAATAAAAAAACATAGGACTCTTACCCAGTAAACAGACTCACTTTTTTTCCTCGCAGGTTCACTGGACTTTCCACAATAAAAAAGCCTTTTTATTTTGAACGAGAAGACCACAGATATTCACGAGTACTCACACCTTTAAAACGAACATCTGTGGGACCTTTTAGACTCTACTCTAGAAGGACAACTTTTAAAGTCATAATATTGGCCATGTTTGGTATCAAATTAAAGCTTGATTCACGAAGAATCTGCTCATGGCTGTTCTTTGACTCCATTTGCATCATGGGATGAGCAAAACGCCGACAAAGTGGGGGTACCTCTGGTAGGCCCTCTGGGAGAATTTCACTCATGTCCAGTCTCCCAGTCGACGAAACCGCACGCGCCTATGAAAACAGACGACATTGTTCGAGGCCGTATTTCGCTCTCTGTTTGCCCGGCGTAATAAGTAATAGTGCTAGTTCCCTTGATAACAGGAGGTGACGAAATCTTGCGGTAGACGACGATCAATCTGTGATCGCTAATTCCAATATGAGACACCCCAGAACAAGTAGTATTGTCTGGAAGATTAGTAAAAATAACATCGATTAGGGTGCTACTCTATGGCGTAATTCTTGTTGGCTCAGTAATAAGCTGTTTCAAATTGTAATTATCGGTGATATTTAATAGAGCTTGCATGAGTATTAGCGTTATAAAAAGACGCTGGAAGCATATTACAGTTGAAATCACCCATGATGTAATATTCTCCTCCATCCGCATCAGGCTTTCCGACAAAGTCTTCGAGTGTAGAGAATAATTCAGAGACTAAAGGAGAATGAATTTTTGCCTTAGAAAACTTGAAACAAAATCTCGAAAATTTGGAAAACGGAAAACTGAAAAAAAAGCAAATAAAACAGGCAAAATACTTGCAAGACAATAGCAAGATTAGATGAAAAACTAGGACGAGCAAAGAGACCAAACGAATAAAACTGTAAACTGGACCAAAAGATTGAGAATCACAACGAAGAACTGACGCAAAAATTACAAGCGAAGCTCAATTTATGATGTGCAAAGAAAACACCTAACACGAAGAACAAAGATTCACGACGAATGAACGATTAATGAAGTAAACAGCACTAAAGGTGCGAACATGAAAAAACTAAATCGCGGCAAAAAAACAAAAGCTAAAAAAGAAACGCGTAACATTCATGACGCGTACATTCCAGCCCCTAAAGACAACTCTATCCAATCTAACCTATAAAAATAAGCCAGGAGCTTAAACATGAAAACTAACTACACTAAACAATAAACTACTCAAACAATAAATTCCTTAAACAATAAATGTCACAAAGGCCTACGTGCCTCGAACAGGTTTGAATGTCCAGTTTTATAGAACATCACGAAAGCTCAATGAGTCGCGCAAAGTCTCTTGAACAGTTCTGAGCAGTAAACGAATCACTTTCAATGTCCAACTGATTCCAACAATCACAACTTGGTGATAAGTAAATGGGTGTTACCAAAACTAAGACCCTCGAAAACCCAAGACCTAAGACTCGTCTTAGTTTTCGAGATTAGGAAAACTAAGACCCCCCTAAAATCGAATTTGTCGAAGTATGAAGTCAAATGTCAAATTATCTTCTGTCCGATCCTTTCCATGGAGTTAAAATGGAGTAAAATGTAGCGGTAAATTTAGGGGTCTTAGTTCACGTAGTTACCAAAACAAAAACTTCATTACGAAAACTAAGGCCCCCACAAAACCAATCTTTAAAATATACATAGCGTCGGATTATGACCGTTCAAAGACTATATTCCGTAAAACTACCGAAAAAACTTCCATCCGCCCTATCCGCTTCTTCTAACTTGTATATATATTCAGGCATACATAAGGATGAAAGCCACATAATACGTATGTATAAATTGTACACTGAAAAGAAGCCTTACTCCAACTTATCGATAATTTTATGGTACTTTATCCTTAAAATCGAAAAATTGGCATTCCGCTGTAGATGTATTTTTATCTTCTTGCAGCTTCTTGCCGGCTGACATGTCGCTGCTACCCTGATAACGTTAGCTGAATATTATTAAAATCGCTTCCGATCATCTATTGGGTTATCGGTTAAACATCACAAAAATAAGGATTTTTCTTCAAAAGGGTTCTTGGTTTTGTGATAGAGTACGCTTGAATCTCTAAGCTTTTGCGTGACGCGGTATTTAGATGACGGCCAAGAGAGCTGTCATGTAGGTTAAAAAAAATTTGCAATCTAAACAGTTCATGTGTTAGAAAAAGAATTACTTTAATGTTTACGAGTTTCTCGAAGAATAAATTCACGCTTTTGTAGCAAACTCGGTAACAGATGTTTCTGTTGGTTTCCGTCCGCCATGTTGGGGCTCATCCAGGTGATCACCAGCATGGCGTCTCCATACAAATCTCTATAAGTTTGGGTAAAACATTTCTTCGGATATCTCGTGTACGAAATATTCCTCTGACCTGAATCTTGGCGAGGGTCTTTGTATATGTACCTCCTTTCATTTCCCAGATTCTGGACTTTATTTATTAAACGGTTTTGATTTTTCTTTTGATCTATTTTGAATGACGTGACTGAAAACCAGCAACATAGACATTTTTGGTAGCTTGATTTAATTAAAAGTAGGAATTCTAAAGGGTATTCAAAACAATCTGATTGGTGTTGTACCGCACGCAATGCTGGCCGCGCAGATCAGACTGTCAGATAAGAAAAAGTAAAATTCAGCACATGGTACGATGAATAAACCAACCACAAACATTTACTTTCCATTTTTTAGCGTGCCATATCATTTAATCCTTCACTGAAAAAATTCAGGGCTTGGAAATTTGGGGTGTTAATTTTTTGGTTTCGTCGGGAATCCGACAAGTCTGTGATGGTAAAACTGCATTGTAAAAAAAAAAAAAAAGATTGTCGGTTCATTCAATGGCATATCTACAACATGTAAGTTAGAAATGGATTTTTTTTTCACAACTCAGAAATAAGCACTGTCACGTCAAGAGCCATGTAAGTCATGTTTACGTAACGCAATTAAGTTTAAACGACCCATTTGCGTGACTCGTGACATGTCGGTCGCGCGCGAATCTCGCTGTGGTCTGTCTAAGTTTCATTGCCGAAATGACGTCACACAAGAGCACAAGGTACAAGCAATCAAATTGTAGACCTGATTATATACTAGACAGGATAGATATTTGGTGTAGATTTTGAAACTGCTTCGCTGTTTCGTGATAAGAAATTGACCCACATATGTTTATACCTTATGGAGGCGAGCTCAAATACTGCACCTGAAGGCCAGGGTAAGAGTTCTTTGCGGCTGACAAAATGGTATGAAACTTTCCACCTAATGTATATGAAGTATCTGTGTATCACTGTGGGACATGAACTTGCCAAAATTAAACGTATTTTGGCTGACATATTTGTTGGAGGATTGATTTGTGTCGCGCTGAACCTCTTAACTCTCAAGTTAGAAAGGTCAAATTACATTCAAGTGCCCCGTGAATTTTGCGTTCCCAAAAATTCATTTCATATGTTGCCCAGAGTTTGGAAAGCATAATTTGAAAGCTTAGAGATTACTTTTTAATATGAAATGTCTTTTTTTTTTTTGAAATCATGTATCGGATGTGATTTTACGCCTTTGAAATTTGACAATATTTTGCTTGCGTAAACGCCTTAAAATTGTTTAAATATTTAAAAATCCATAAGATATTCCAGTTGGAATCAATTCAAGAACATGACCACTCAATATGTGTATTAAAACCCCTTTAGTACGATAAGAAGCTTTTTGGGTTGGTTGATAATTGAATTCAATTGAAATCAAGGTCTTTTCGTAGCCTAGTCTAGAGGGAGGCCCGAAAAAGAGGTCTGGCGGAGGCCATCAATCGCCCGAACTTGACATTCGCCATATCGCCAAAATATTTATCCAGTGAAACTAAAATTTATATTTTCATTACCAGAATACCAAGGGTAGTCTACATAATTTTATGGGATTTTTCAAAAATTTTATTTTTCCCACCTCTGGTCGATATTTACAGACATCCGCTCTTAAATAACATCCCAATGAATAAGGATCCACAACCCAATTTTACACTGTGCCCATGCACCTTAAGTTGCAGGAATCTCATCATAGTGCATTTCTGGACATACATCTCGATTCGAAGAAGAAAAATTTCAAAATGTGTTTTAAGTGACGAAGGATTTCATGCGGCTGGTCTTTTTGTGTGCAATCGTACTTAAACCATTAAATCAAAATGAATTTGATAGAATATTGAAGAAATGACACACGTGTAAGTTGTATTATATTTTTGTTTCAGATTTCTTGGCAAAAACCTAATCAACGAAATCCCTGAGATGGCCTTCGAGAATATGAAAAGTCTTAAAACAATGTATGCAAGAATTAGATCATAAGCGTCAGTCATCTTGTTGGCGCCTTTCTAGTGTGCATATCTGTTTTTAATTTACTCATTACTTAACTTGTCATTAATCATGTAAAACCTACGTTTTCCTTCTTTTTTTAGTTTGCTTCAAAATAACAACTTAACGAGAATCCCTGATGAAACATTCAAGAATCAAAACAAACTCAAATTAATGTATGTATTAACTGACTATTGTTAAGTAACTAAAAACAATAGTTAATTAGTTGAGTTTTTAGAGTGCTGCTATCGGTTAAGGTAAGAACTACTCATATAGAGATATCCAAGGGCCTAAAAGCAAATCTTCCGTTTATATACTTATAATTAAGACAGTCGATGAACGTGCTTTAGACCAATAAACTTTAAGCCACTACAAATATCTCTGGATGAAT